CTGACATCTCAAACAGAAGCTAGTTTTTCTTTCGGAGCCAGTTTCGGGCACAAGTAGATTTACACTGGTAACGTATGTTCCGGTAACGTATGTTCCAGGCCACCTAATTTTTATTTTCATAACGTGTTCTTATATATTTTGAAGTGATTCGATCATGTTAAATTAAATATGACGTAAGGATGTTTTTTATAAATATTTAAACCGTAACTAATGGGGCCTGCGTCATGGCTAATACTAGGTAACGTATGTTCCCTAGGAAAATTGACAAAATGTTTCATTTTGTACAAGTACTTGGTGCAAGAAAAAACAATGTTTTCTTTTGCTGACAGAAAAATATATAGTGATTCCATGATAGTTTGACATTTCAGATATAATATTTGGAGCACGAGGGGAAAAATAATTTATTAAATGCTTATTTTACTGTCGGTAGGGTGTATTTTCCCCGTTTTTTTAATATTCAGTGACAGGCAAACTTAAGTCGCTAAAAAACAATTAACTGCTCTATACAGAAGCTTTTCGTAATTTTTTACAACGTTATACTTGTAGGAGATAAATTAAAGAACAAAACCCGTGATGATCGAATTTTCAAAGTGATTAAAACGTTTCCACAGCTAGACGTTATGCATTTGTGACAGTAACGTATGTTCCTTTTTGGGGTTAGATGATGAATTATTTTTTATTATTCGTGGTTCCAGGAAAGTGAAACTTTAATACAGACTTCTTTATGTGGGACCCTAAAATAATCAAACATAGTTTGTAATCTGTGCACTACATATTTTTAGGAACATGTCTGTGACATCATTTGCACCTCTATATTGGGTTTGGGTGTTAAATGGAGTTTTATATATGTATATGCTTGTATATGTTTTATATTTTACAGAATCTATTTTATATACTTGATTCAGAACGGTTTTAAGAAGTATGAGAAAACTTATGGATAACAAGTTTGTGGTGCTTAATAAAGATGAAAAGAAACTTCCAAATATGTTTATAATGCAGAACATTTTTTAAAAATTCCAAGATATTGATCCAAATTATTTCAAACATGTCACTAACTCCTAACACTGTTCAATTACGTCTTGTGTGCACTTACATTCAGTTATTTTTTGCATTTCTTGTAAAACTAACTCAATTAAACTAACTGGAGTGCAATTGAAAAAAAAAATTATTATTATCATCGACTTGAAGAAAAAAAGATTTTTCAAAAAAAAATATATATATATATTAAGTTAGTGAAAAAGAGTCCCTAAGAACTTCACACAATTTAGGCGACATTCATAACCAAGGTTGAATCGCAGGCTTACAAATCCGCAGATCAGATATGGCTGACCCACTTGAAAACTTACCGCATAAACCCTGCTTGAAATCTATTCAGTGTCTATTTGGAGTCAAGCTTTCAAGTTGGTCAGCCATATTTGATCCTACAATCTGCAAATCTGCGGATCATGGTGTTCTGAATGCACTCTTACTTGTATTTCTATTTTTAGGTAACAGAGGGACACTCGATGGAGACCAGTATGACAGATGCCAGTGACTTGCAGAAAGGAACAAAAACTTTCAAAAAAAAAAAAAAAAAATCAATTAAAAAAAAAAACTTTTATGGCAGATATACAATAGACAGCATTCACCTTAACTTTACTTATTATTCTTTACTGGCTGAACAAACTTCAATAGTCAACGAACTTCAACGAGAGCACATGCAGGACTGAGAAAAAAAAAACTTTGCTAAAAAAGTGAACATGTGAAGAACTTTCGTGTGAAGTTAAACTTTCTTTGTCATGATTTCACTGGTGGTGTATTAAAGATCTGATGAACAATGGGATGACAATAAATATTCTTTTAATAATAAACAATATTTTCTTTTTAAATATACCCTGTCTCTGTTTTATTCCATTTGTTCGAGTTATTTTAGCATTTCTTTTACATCTGGGAATAATTAACAATTAATTATTCACACTACCATACTTTATGGGAGATGTAAAATTTGATCATGTTGTGTTTCACAATACAAGTTATTTGCAATAAATTTTAAAACTTGTTTTGCTTTCATTAAATAATTAAACAAATAAATAAATAAATAAATAAATAAAGAATTGCAAATAAATAATAAAATAAAAAGTACACAAATAAATTAAAGAAAATGTCTTTATATGATACCCGGTCCATTAAATTCTTGCTATTTACGACTTCACCCATTACAACATTTTCTGAGGATTAAAGCATTGTAGTAAAAGGAAATAAAAAGCAAAATAAATTTAACTCCCAAAGAAACTAATAAATGAATAAATAAATTAATTAAAGCAAACCAATATAAAAAATGCCTTTATATTCAATGCCTCATTACAATATACAATTCCTTTTTAAATATCACTACTGGTATATCTGTCTTAACACATTTTCTCCAAGAGAACCCAGTTGCACTAAAATGAGATAAAAGGCACCATAAATGTCATGTCCAAAGAAACTAAATATACAAATAATGTATAAATGAAGTACCAGTATTTGAAATGCTTACAGCTCTGATATGGCAAATCTAGAATAAGCTTCACATTTTAAATAGGAAACACAGCTTTTTAAACTTTCAAATCAGCATTATCAACTATTACTAAATCCTTTTCCTGGGGGTGGGGGTGGAGGGGGGGGGGGCAGAAATTATTAATTCACACTTCAAATTTATTGCGTAAATACCCTAGCTCATTTTCTCACACTTTTTCTGTCGCTATAATATCCAGAATCAGTATAAATAATATACTTCCAGCAGTATAAGACCTTGGTCCCTCAAAGCAATTTACTACAGTGACTCAAATAAGTTTCTTTGAAACAAATATTAACTTAGACCCTTCAAAAAGTCTATATAAAATCATAAATGATTAAAATGGATGGGGATGAGAATCTATAAAAAGATTATTACATCAGCAACCTATAAGCCTTTCACAGAATTGCTCTACTGGTAGCCTTAAAATGAGCAGAGAACCTGTGTATGTAGTTATAACACATTATTATTTATTAATAAACAATAAAACCTTTTTTTCACTGCTCAGTTATCCTTTTTTCATGACTGTGAAATATGTCTGTATGTTTGGTGAACTGCTTTGGAATCTTAGGCTGTATTCCCAGAGCTTTTAGATCGATCTATCCCTGCGGGGAGTCTCACTAGATTACTGTCAGATAATCCGGCTTAAATGTCCGTCCCGCCTACTACAAGCTGTGAGGGGGTAATTAACTTTCGTGTCTGCCCAGCTGACAGCTATTTAGCGTGAACCCCCAGGAAGTTAGGTCTATCTAAAGTAGATCGATCTAATCTATGGAAATGGGGTCTTATATTTTGTCATTTTTCCACAAATTTTACTCACTTGAGAGGCTTCCCTGTCTATCTAACACCCTCATCCGTCACGTACAACATTTAGAAGGCGCTCGTTTACTTCTGACATAACAAACATTAGTATCATAGAACATGGTTTCAGTTACCATCAACGCAATGCTCAAGCTACCCATGTGACATTATAAATAGTAAACTCTAAATAAATAAATCAACCTGATGTTGCCAGCGTAGCTTTACATTTGTAAAATCCTTTGAATGTTTAGAAATGTCTTTCCCAAAAACAGTCCGCAAAGATTGCTGTCATTTAACCCAGACCATGGACTTCGTTAATCAGAACTTGATTTCAGTACATCATGCAGAGTCCTGCTGCAATGATATAAATTATTCTCTCCGTTGATTGGGAACATCAAAATTAAAATGGGTGTTTAAATGCAGGACCATCTAAATGCAGCATTAAAGTAAAAATATAATAATAAAAATAATTATGAAAGTGTCTCAGTCAGTTATCACTACATAAACTAGAAGAATGAACAAAATAAAAAAGAGATGTGACTGTAAAAATGGCCTCAATTACAAAATAGTCAAAATAAAAAATCATTCATTTCCATTCAGAGTTCCATCCTGATAAACATGGTCGATCTGATGATGACCAGTCACAGCGTGTTTATCATTCAAGTGCTGCTCTGCTATTTTGACTGCGTGCGGAATGGACTCCTGTGTCCGCGTGATGATTGGGAACAACAAGTCAGGCTCAACAATCTTCTCCTTGGTAATTAGGTCGCAAGTTTTCATGAGATCGTATGCTATCTTCTCTGACACTACAGAATCCTGCTTGTAGTCAGGGTGGGAGGTGACAAAGTCGCGCATCCAACGAGCCGTGGTCTTCAGTTCACCTGGAGTGGAGGAAGATTTGCATGGAGGTTATTTTAATAGAACTTTTATTTTATCAAATATCAGGCCTGTAGCCAGCAATTTCAGAGGGGGGGTCGTTTTCTGAAAAAGTGGACCTTTTACGGTTTTACCATAAAATCCTTAAGTACATAGATCTAATTTTACCTAGAGTGGACCTTTTCCCAGCAAAAAGGGTGGTTCTTTCGAGCCCCCCTGGCTACGGGCCTGTATTTACTAATTTGCAAAAGCAATGTTTCCTCCCAAACATTTTCTATCATCAGATCAAATGAGAGAGAGAGAGAGAGAGAGAGTTCTTGTATTTGCAGTGTGTGTAAAAGAGAGGGAATAAAGATGAAAGGCATGATAAGATCATATTATCTATTTATTTTTTTTTTTTTTTTTTTTTTTTTTTTTTTTTTTTTTTTTTTTTTTCAATGCGTTTATTCACATTATTCATATTATCTATTTATGCTTTCTCCTTTCATCTCATCAAATGAAATACACAAAGAGAGAGGGAGAGAAGGAGCGTGAAAGACAGGAATATAAATAAATCTTGAAATAATAAAATGCTAAGAAGAGAGAGAAGGGGAGAGAGAGAGGGGGGGAGGGGAGAAGAGACTCACTGACCTGCTGCTCTTTTACTGATCAGTTTCAAGTACTGTGAAATTGTACACCTGGTCTCCACATCCAGCGTCTCTATATTTGTCAGATAAGCCTCCATTAGAGGCACCAGACCAGGAAAGCCATCTTCCTCCTTAAAAAAAAAAAAAAAAAAAAACTCCACATGTATTATAAACATCAAAGACCTCTCTCCTGTCTAGTTTACTGAAATTTTCATTCTGTGTTTCATTATCATGGTCATTTTCCTCAATATTTGTTTAGTCAGGCACAATTGTCAGGCATGTGAGCTAGACACTAATAACCAGTTCAGAGAATTAATATTTGATCTAAGTCAGTCTTTGACAAAGAAGTGTCATCCATCAATGTCTGTCTGAAAATCACTTATACTTTACGTGTTGCTCATCAGTCGTTAACTTGGAACTGTCCAAAAAGCAATTATATCTTATGCACCTAGTAATAAAGCCAAAAACATGTTTATAAATTGTTGCTTACCTTTCCGTTAATGATCTCATTGATGGTCATCTCGGTGTATTCATCCTCTGCATCCACTGCGCGACTTATGTCCACGTTGCCACAGGGACAGTTACAGATGCACTCGGAGGCTTTGGGAGGGGAATAGCCTGTAAAATCAAATAAATTGTCAAAACTTATCTGATAAAAAAGGATAATTACCTACCCCTCTTTTGGCACGTTAGGCAATGGCCTAACTTAAAGAGTTAGCAACTGACTTTAAAAACAACTTAGGAAAGGCTATGGAGAATTTACACTGCACCTCTGCAATGTATTAATTCACTTAGTCATCCAGTGACACAATCTAGACCTGAACCTGCACTGGTTTAAGTGGTAGCATGTAAACACTCACCTGTCAGCAAGTCTTTCTTAAAGTAGAACTTTCCTTGGCGTAGAGCGTCTCTCTTGGCTGCTGTTTTCATGTTTTGATCTACCTGGAATTGAAATGTTCCAAGTTTAAACAAAAAACCTCTTTGTCATCACTGAATGATTTCCAATATAAAAACATCAACTAAAAGAGACTTATAAGAGGTTCATTTAAGTAGATTACACCTAGTAAATCATAAACAGTCTACAGAATATTTATTTTTTTATTGTAATAAAGATTACATACCCAGCTCCATGGACCTATATTCCACCATACATCACTACCTATTTTATTTTTTACAAAAGTGTGCACCAAATATTCAAATATATAATCTTGAATTATTCAGAATTTATATCAACACAACATGTAATCACTAGCAGCCACACCCCACCCCACTCTCACACACACACACACACACACACACACACACACACACACACACACACACACACTATATTAACAAACAAAGGCCTGCACTTTACCTTAGATATTGGTATCACCAGGTTCAGATGGAAAGACAGGATCACTCGGGTCAGCAGCACCACAAACACCACATAGGCTGCATTTTCAAAGTCTGTTAGCTGGACCTGGAGTAAAATACAGTTTTTCATTTTCGGTGCATGTAGTGTAATAGACATGAGTATGATAAAATATTATGAATTATCAAAAAACTAAAGAGGGATATTTTTAATAATATTTTTTGTAATCATCAAAATGAGCTCAACAGCAGACAAATTAAGTGCCAAAAAATAAAAGTGATATAATAATGAAAAATATATTAAATTATCTAATTGCTAGCCTTTAACCACTGTATATTGATCCTTACCTCGGTGGGTCTAAACTCCACTCTCCAGCCAATGTCAGAGTTTGGAGGTGGCGGCTTGAAGCGCATTGACTGCCAGTTTGTGGACTGGATGTTCTGAAATTCAAACAAAAGTTGATGAGACATAAACAAACATTTAAAACCTGCATTTCAAACTGCCAATGTTACTTTGAGATGACCATCTGTACATGCCCATAGCCAAGGGTTGAAAGAACAGAAAAGGTCCACTATGAATCAAAAATTTAATCTACTGGGCCCTGGCTTTTATGCCATTTCTTAAGGTGGGTCAACTAAGATGGGATACAAGGTCGATTTTTTCAGAAAAAAAAAATATATTAAATTTCCGACTGCTGGCCTGCAGTATAGCTCCTACCTCAAAATGATCACTCTCTTCCTCATCGTTCTGGTCAATTTTCTCACTGAATAACGATATAGGGTCCCTGATAAATAAGTGGGCCACGTGTCTTGCCAACAGCTCATCCACACCTGAAACAGATATATAATATAATATAATATAATATAATATAATATAATATATAATATAATATAATATAATATAATATAATATAATATAATATAATATAATATAATATAATTAAAATTACTTACTTTATCACAATCAAAATTCAAAATTCAAAATTCCTATTTATTTCTTTTATTCAGATGTCTGTTTCTCCCGTTTGTGTAATCATCATCCTACCAAAAAAATAGTCAACCAACCAACCAACCAACCAATTAATCAATAAACAATCAATAAATCAATCAATCAACTGATCAATCAATCACCTGCTGCCTTGAGCCTGCTGCATATGTCTCTGTCGTAAACCATGTCGATGTCGTTATAACACGCATTGCACGGTCCCAAATAAGAGTCTATTGTGTCATAACGTGACTTATGTATCCTGAATCTGTCCTTCTGGAGGGGCTGAAACAAGTCAAAGAACACATTACAATGAAGCAAGTTCAAGCTGTTTCTACACTTTCATCAAACATTTTAAAGTGGTAGCACTATATCAAGCATAACATAAATTACTGTAACAGATAAAGCATATAAACATGTGATAATAACTTATTCGACTTGTCAGTAACTTTAACAATATTTTTTTTTCTACAAGCGTACATATTGTACTCAACCTCCAAATTCAAATGAAAAATAAAGAATGTATCCGTTTTCATTTCATCCTCATTTCACAGTAACCTTTACTGTTACCACTGGCACATTCACTAAAATTGATACTTAGTAATTTCATCAAAAATTTTATCATATTATTGATAATACACAAATGGTTGTCAACAGGGTGTTATATGATAGCCTTCATGGCAAAATGGTGCTTAAAACACTCAATAGATGGCGCTGTGAGCAGTCCGTACCTCCAGGCCTCTCTCCTCTCTAGTCCGACAGTCCACAGAGTTGGAGATCACAAACCAGCGGCAGTCTATGTCAGACAGAAAACCCCTGTAGATTGGTGAACCAGCACTAAGGGCCATCTGAAAATTTGAACAAAGAATACATTATAGAATTATAAAACTGAGTATGTGGGGAAATTCTGATAAGTGAAGATTCATGATTGAGGCGGAACTTCTTCGCAAATGTTTCTAATCCCTGTCTCTCTCTCTCTCAAATAGAAGTGCCGCACACCAACACAAGCAAGTGTGCTTGTGCACACCTGAATGCACATGCACAAATGCATGTGCACGCACACACATACACACACACACACAGCCATTTTCCAGAATTATCACAGACCTGCTTGTATCCACATATGTTGCCACCTGCTCTCTCTCATTCTCTCTCTCTCAAACACACACACACACACACACACACACACACACACACATGCCTGCATACACACAAACTTACAATGATAGGACAAAGCGGCGCCAGCTGGTCGTAAAGGTGTCGTGCCTCGTCTATATTACACGCCTGGAATGTCATCTGGAGACAAGAACACCCCATCCCGAAGCCCATGGCATCCAGGTAGATGTGGTCAGGCAGGGAGGCCGCCTGAGACTCCCCGCTGTCGCCATATTGGGATAAGTCCTCTTGGAAAGGACTTGGTGTGTTTTTGTCTTTGAAAACTAAAACAAGAAAAATTTGTAAATGTACATATATTGCAATATCGACATATTGTGATAAGACCTCTAGGATAAGACTTGGTGTGTTTTTTGTCTTTGAATACTAAAACGTCAAGCAGAGGATACATTGTAATTTGTACAGGTATATGTATTACAATATCGCCATATTGGGGTTAGTCCTCAGAGACAGATCGATCCACAGTTAGTATGACAGAGTTTGGAAATGGTCTCTTAGAGGTTTACTGAACTTACTTGGAATATTAATTGCTACCTTTTCTCCTCTTCTCTGTCTGATGTTTCTTGTTAAGGTCCTATAACAACATGACAGTCATATCTTTATTAAATCTTATACAATATCTGGAAAAGATACGATAATAAAGAACTTCAAGCTTGTAAACCCTTAATTTACTGCTCCAGAGTTCTCTTTTTTATTATATAATAATAGCTGCAGTTTATATAATGATACATGCTTAGCAGGGGTAGCACCTTTTTTTCAAGGGTCAGCAGAAGAAAATGCTTTATTTTATTATAATTATTTTTCTATTTATTTTTTTTTTTGGACACAGACCGTAACTAATTTTTATTAACCTACAGATTCTTACTTGAATCTGGGGTGTCCTGGAAAGATGACCTCTTCAGGGTAAAATAAAGACCTAGAGGCGCCCTCTGTGGGTGTGGGCGGGAACTCAGGCCGGCTGAAATTAGGGCAACCCAACCTGGAAAAGTAGGTCATAAAAAACAGACTGGATAAAAACTCAAAGTGAAGAAAAAAAATGGAAAACAGTAGGTTTTATATTGGAAAAGGTTGGATAAAAATACAGTGACCCAAGCTGGGTACAAGTAGATTTCTGGAAACAATATGACTGAAATAAGGTCAAACCAACCTGAAAAGTAGGTTATAGGAAACAGACTGGTTAAAAATAAAGTGACCCAAGTTGGAAAATGTAGGCCATTTGAAAATTTATAACACCCAGCGTATCTTGTATTACATACTCCATTATAACTGTGCTAAAAAATGACAGCTGAGGTCAGCTAAATTTAGAAATAGCATGCATTTCCCCTGTACCCAGTGTATGCATTATACAATAGTTTAATCCTCAAGGTTTAGCCATGATACTTACATTCTTTTATGCTGCATGGTTCCAGAACGATTCCCCCCAAACAACACCTCCCCAAGATAGTCCCATCCCCCCAGTCCCCCCCCTTCCATAATACAGTGGGTGCGGTGACAAATGCTTGTAACTACTGCTTCAAACAACACTATAACCACACTTGTATTTCATTGTATTTATACTGAAGCGTATATAAATATGTATATGTGCATTTCTTGTAAGCAACATACGACAGCAATTATCCCAATGTTCGATACATCACTCGTGGAATAAAATTAAATAAATCACAAGGCAGTGAATGTCATGTGGTGTCTGTCATGAAAATGAATGAGAAGCATTTACGGATCTCCTTACCTTGGAAATGTGACAACAGAGAGGGCCGTCTCTCCCGGCTCGGACAGAAGTCTCATCACTTCCTTTCTCCTATAATACAAATATGATCAAAATTTATATTTGCCGACCTTGGTTTTCTACCTGATCCTCTTGATTTTTTTATTATAAATTTATAACAGATACTATTATAATTTTTTTTTACAAAAGACAACGACAACTTTTAATGAATTTTTTTCCTCTTCTTAGTAATTTATCTTACGTAGAATGTATATATATTCATTTTCCAATGAAATGTATAGGAAATACATAAGACAATGTATAAAGTGTACTGATTCTGATGAATAGTCAACATAATCTTTCATGAAATATCAAAACGAGAAAAGTTATCTAAAAGCAAAATTAACCTTCTTCTCATGTTGGCCTCCACCATATTAAAGTAAGCCATCAGTCCACCGTATGGTTTCCCTGGTGTCCCCTCCACCATGTAATTTGCATATTCTGGTCGCCATATTGTTTTTAGGTCCCTGAAAAAATATGAGCAAAATTTGTTTATTATGGAAGATTTTTCCTTTTTTAAAATTATTTTTATTTCTTGCTGCCATATTGTCCCTGCAAAAATATGAACAAATTACATTCATCATTAAATGATATTAATATATTATTAAATATATTTTTATAGAAGACAAATTCATCACAAAACTTGTGATATATACTCATGACTATCTTATCAACTTCAAAATACAGTTTGACCAGAAAACATTGGCCCGAGCCATGCTACATTTTGTGTAGAATGAAGATACATGTAGGCATGTATGATTACATGAAATACAACACAGTGCTTAACTTCAGTCATATGAAACACTGCCTACTAGTAGCTATATGCAAAATAGTTCCGCAACTGGTATTTGATCTATGACATAGACTAGGTAATTAATTCAAGTTACAACACAAGCTAACAAGGTGTACGTGATAGAACATATGAAGCTTCAGTTGATGAACGATACCCCTTGCTGATAAGTGGTCCATCTTCCACTTATGCTATGCTAGATTTCAAGAATAAAAGGCCCAATTGAACATATTTTGTACATATATATCAAAATTTATGGTCTGCTTTTCACTTTTTAGTTAAAAAAAACACCACTTTTGGTTCCTTTCCTCTCTAATATTATCTACACTTTTATAATATCACTATTATTTTATCATAATGCATCAACATAATTTGTCATTTTTAAATTAAAATAAATTTGCAGTCTGTCAGGTTTATCCTGGGCAACATACCGACAAGTTGTGGATTCTTCTTATACGTTAATGGCTCAATGGGCAAAATTATCTAATTTTCAGATAAGTAATTTTTAACTACAAAAATCACATTTCTGTATGGCATTTCTGGTGTGTTAATGTATAAAATAGAACTATAGAGTAGCCTGGCTTTTCATTTTGTAGCCACCACCCATTAGAAATGTTCTAATTTTAACAAATTGTGACTTTAAATTTTTGTATCTGTTAAATGCACAATATTTCCCCACTGAAAAGATGGTGTCGTTGTCGTATTCTTCTTACAAGGAGAAAGATCTGCCCATCACAAATGCAAACATGTCTTCATACAACCAAGGTATTTAAGGTGAGATTATCCTTGGTTCAATGAACTCATGGTTCAACAACACTGAAAGGTGCAGGGCATTAGCAAATATTACAAGTTTACTTCCATTATAAATATTGGTCCTAATGGACAACCTGCCACTTGAAGATGACCTGCTTATATTATGTAGCTGTGTGATAGCAGTTTAAAATGTTCAACTGTGAGAAGTCATGTTATATGAGAGAGAGAGAGAGAGAGAGAGAGAGAGAGAGAGGTGAGTTCTTGCTGTTACAGAGCACAGGGGCAGACGTAAGTCATCTTCTGGAAGAAGGTCAGAAATTTCCAGTCTACATTGAAAGGGATCTAATTTTTTCTTTCAGAAGACAGTCAAAAATGGAGGATGGATCAACAAAAATAATTTAAAAGACCGTCAAAATATATCTGTGGATCTGTCCCTGGTGTGTGTGTGTGTGTGTGTGCATGCGTGCATGCATGCGTGTGTGCGTGTGTGTGTGTGTGAGTAAAAGAGTGAGAGAATTAAGATGAAAGGCAAAATATGATTATATTAGAAACTGGGAGCAAAAGTAACAAGTCATATTCAAAATCATGTATAGAAAAACATCCAATAAAACTGCCTACAACCAAATTGAAATAAAAAGAGAAAAGAAATTGCTATATCATGATGACAAATGAAAAATAAACAACACAATCTGGTATTAGAATGATTCAGCAAAATTGAATACCGGACTGTTATTTAAAATTACTTCAAGTTCATTCAACAAAAGTAGGTATTTTGAACCATCCTTGATTTGTCTGTTTGTTACTTGACAAGTTTCTCTCAAGAAGTTAAGATACAATCTTTAGGATAGGCAATCATTCTGCAGTGAAAGTAAAGATAACATTTTATCTCAGGTTATTAAAAGGCATGATGCATGAATTGCAAGTTTTTTAATTAGTTACATTTCTAAGCTAGACATACAAATTACTTCTACTGCTCTTAAAACGTCTAGACATGCACCACTTAAATACCTTAGTGAAAAAAATCTGCTCATGATTTTGCAAAGACAGAAGATGTTCATAAATAAAATGAAAGACATGAGCCCATTCAAGCAGCACTGTTTTACTAATGTACAGATTTTTCTTGATTCATAAAAACTGAAAATAAAAGCAAAAGCTATCATGATTCTTTTTCATAGATTTGAAAATACTACCAAAACTCATATGACTTCTTTTCAGAAACTGGTAAATTTGAGTTTCCAATGCAAATAAATAAATAAATAAATAAATAAATAAATAAATAAAATGAAATCATGAAACCAAAAGTCCACATTTTCCCTATTAAAAGAATCACCAGTACCCTAAAACATATGATTCAATTTCATTTACATACAAAGTTTTATAGGTGAATTGATAGTTTTGACAATAAAAGCTCAGATGCATATGTATATATTTCTTCAACAAACATGCATTGTACTGCTCACCACTAACCAAAAAGCTGATAATATTTTAACCAAGAAAATTCCCTTCCTTTCCCTTTTTTGCATGTCCTAAATGTGTTTATCATTTCACAATAATAAAGATTGCCTACCTTTGCTGTTTAAGTACGACTGACTTTTAGAAATCATCTTAAATACCGATTGCAAATAGTTTTAATAAGCGAGTTGGTTATGTATTAGCCAGTTTATTTTTGCAAGTGTCTGATAATGTTGAATTAAATTGCTGAATTTTTTTTTTAATGAGAAATTTGAAATTATAAGTAATAACCATATATGGAACAGTATCCAAGTTCATATTTGTGTATAGATACATTAGTGCCTCGTTTTCATAGAACCTTTTCTCGGGCAAAAAATAATGAAAAAATCAGTGGTATTCAATTTTTTTCTTTAATTACCAAAGTCAGTTGTTTAGAGAACCCATCAGTATATACATGTTGAAATACAGACTGCATTTTTTAACCTGACTACCATTGTCTACCCATGATCTTAACTTCTAATTTAGACGGCTACATTTTATGCATACATGATGATGCACGAGTCTAGACTTCAAGGTAGTCAAACTTTCCCCTTTTCTCACTGCTTATAAAAAAGCATTGATCAATTTTTAAAAAATTTAAGACATCTGACTTAAAACTGATCTCAGCTTTTAGACCAAATGTTTAGTCAACAAGTAAGCACAAGAATTAAATATGTTCTTGATTCTAATTTTACTCCAAGGCTTAGAGCATTCAACCATATGCCTATGTATCTGTATGGTATCGTTCAAGCAGGCAATTTAAAACTGTTTGCTAGCAGGCGCTTTCTCCGCTGGCCTACCCTACTAGTAACTATACGGGGCCATTCAGAATAAATGATCCGAGTACTAACTGATCCACCAATTAAATGTGGCCGACCACACTTCAAAAGAGATGTCGCTGATTTCTAATGGTCTCCCTGCCTCCACATGTGCCATTAAACGGATTAAATCTCGGCTCCGATGTTTGATTGCTAGGCCCCACAGCGACGGCGCATGTAGAGGTGGGGAGACCATCATGGGATTAGCGGCATCTCTTCTGAAACCGGCCATATTTGGTCGGCGGATCACTTAATACTTGGATTATCTATTCTGAATGGCCCCTGATACAGACAGACCCTTGTTAAGTCCTGCTTACATCTGTATCACAGGTGATAGACGCACAACCCAGACAACTGTAGTACATTAATCTATTTATTTATGTAATGGTGTTACTCCAGCAGCCCCAAAGCAAAAAACAGTGGCCAGTATAACTGATGCTGTAGATGTATAATCTTATAAATTGCCTACTAGTACTGAGAAAGAAGAAAGATCTACTAGCAACTGGTCTTTTCCACTAGGCTCCTTTCCATTTTAAAGCTGCCCTTACCTATCTACAGGCTGTGCCAAAAACTCTTAACGCCACCAGTCTTAATACTACTAGTCAGTTTACTTGCCAGAGGATGGTAATAAGAGATCTGTGTATTTGTCTTTGGTGTACTGTAAGTGCTTTCCCCAATTTTCCTGCCCGGGTTTTTTTTACTTGCCTAAATAGATTAATGGATTGACTCAAAATCCCCTGACCCCTCTCAGCCCCATCCAAGAACAAATGAATAAATAATATAAGACAAATAAAAAATTGCTTTAGGGGTTTTTACTAAATTATTGTCAACCCCTACAACATGAAGAACTGGTCTAAAGCTATATAAAGGCAGTGGACAGTATAACAGTACTATAAATTTGCACAATTTTCCTGGCCCTGCTCCAATCAGACTTACCATTTGGAATGGCACCAATATAAAACCTTGCAGGCTGTGTTTGAGTGTTTCAAAACCAATCATCAAACGTTTAATCCTATCACAAGCTCCCAAAACTTACGCAGGGTTTTCTCTCTCTTGTTGCTGTAGCACGTGTAAAACTTTGTCTCCCTTAAGTAGCAGACTGCTCTTCTCGTTCTCGTGGTCCAAGTGAACTAATGTGTACTCAACCTAAAGATGATAAAATATATAATAAAAACGAACACAAAATTATATTCGTCCGATAGTTAAATGAGATGGGCCTCTATATTTACTATGAATACAGTACCAAAATTGTCAATTATAACACACATTAGATGAACAAGTTTATGCAGTCTGAGACCTTGACACGTCACGAACGCCCAGGGCGTTTTTACTTTTGCAATCACACTTCACAACAGCGAAAATCCCTTTCATCTACCTACCTCGTCGCCCCAAAGCAAACAGTCCTTCTTCACATCTTTATGTCGTTTCCAGAGATTAATGAACTGGGTGATTCCATGTTCTCGAACGTGATCGGCTTTGGCCTTGGTCTCTTCCCATGACAGTGGCGTCCCTTCGGACAGTAGACCCATCTGGGCAAGCTGTGTTAATGGATCGTCTTAACCCTCACAGCGGATTTTTAGAATTCACCGTCTTGCTGCGAGTAATGGTTTATGTCTCTAAGCTTGTGGGTATGAGGTCAAGGTTTGGGTCATGGCGCTTGCGCAGTGACGACTTCCATGATTCAGCACATCTAGATTTTAAGCGAGTTGTGCAATGTTACTTGTTGATTCACTGTTTTTCAATGGGCTATCCTAACTCTCTTAGGATAATATTGATTTAAGAGGGGTCTGCTCTCTATAATGCATTTTCTCAAACCCCAATTTCGTTGCGGAACGATCTAAAAGAAAAATAATTTACAAAATAGACCCCTCAGTAGGCTATTAAGATAGTCTAGTAGACCTAAAGGATGAAAGAGCCTACATGTATGAATACAATGTAATTAAATAAACATTAGAACTAACGTTAAAAAGTATGCTCTGATAGGTAAATGAACAATGTCTTTTTTGTTCAGCAAATGTTTCTGTTAACAAGCATTCATGTAAGGGGACCTACCGCAAATTTTATAGGGCCTAAGCCTAGTTTAGGTAATTTGTAGGCCTATTTCTTAAAACTGTACGAGGCCCTATTTAGGCCCTATATCTACCCTCAACCATTAATTATTAATCATTCCGGAGATATCGCTCGTTATTCAACTTAACGAAATTTTGTCTCGTCTGTTTCATTTTTTGTTATGGAGAATTTTAAAGAATTAATTTTGGTAGATATCCTGACATCCCAAGATATAACAACTATATCTGTGGTGTATAATAGGACTGTTAAATGAACATGACCATTGGTCTTTTTAACAGATTTTAAACGTCATCTTTAAATTGGAAAATAAAAAAAAGGGACAAAAATTTCATTTGAAATGAAGGGATTTTTTTTCTGGATTTGTTTTGTATTGTTTTCGTCTTTTTTTTTTTCATCTAATAAAATAGGCCCATGTAGCTACATGTATCTACCTACGCGTTCTCAATTTAAACTAGAAAAACATATAGCCTATGTCAGTCGTTAGGGAGAGCTAAGGGCACGTAGCAGTTTATCCGCAGATTTCGGTTGGCCCGTACACACTGTCTGAATTGGAGGCATTTTTCTCACTTTTTTCAACAACATAGAGTGAAAGTGGACGACTGTTAAGGTCTTCGTATTTTTATGTTGATTTTTGTCAAGAGTTGATATGATCAAACGTTTAAGGATATAAAAAAGAAGAGGGGATATCTGCAAACTGACTATAAATGCGATCGAAGTTAAAATGTGATATCTGTTTACGCAAACTCTGCCGCACTGTGGACACGAGATGTTTTGTGTAGGATCATGTGTTGGGTTCCTCAAGACCTGCCATCTTGTTAGATGTAGCCTGTGAGAAAAAGAGCATTTTCGGCAACCACAGGACCGGCTTTCATACGACATTCACAATTTGCGTAGTTGCGGTAAATCTTTTTTTTTTTTTTTTCTTCATATATTTCCCTACAGCTTCAGTCAACCCCGTCGCAAAGTCTTCGCGCATTTGTGGCTGCGTTTCACAACTGTCGCAATGGCGATCGCGGTTGTGCCTTCCACTTGTCCACTGGTCCACTTGTCCAACCCACCTTAGTAGAGCCTTTGGAATGATTCCGCGCCAGTGTGAATCGCCGGCCGGTAGTTTCGCCCTCTGCAGCACTTCGGTGTTGGTGATTTTATCCACCCATGAAATACCCATTGTTTTTCTTGGCCAACGCTTCGTGGAACTAATCAAAATATTTTATCCACTTCCTTTATAATGTCCAAGTTTAACTACTACACTGAAGTATAACAAAAGTAACTAAAAGTATGAAAAACTTAGGGTGTGGAATTCCATGTAAATTAATGTCCAAGTTAGATATAAGGCCTACAGCTTTCCTTTAATCAACTTCAGGCCCGTAGCCAGAGGGGGGGGGGGGGGGGG